CTCGCTGAGCTCAATGGCCCACTTCGTCAACTGACTAGAGACCTCAGGCTTAAGTAAGACTTGCCTCAGAGGCTTGTCGGTGAGAACGATAACAGTGTAAGCCTGGAAGTACGGACAGAGCTTTCGAGCTGCAATTACCAGTGCGTATGCTTGCTTTTCTATCTCTATGTATCTCGTCTCTGCTCCCTGCAATACTTTACTAACATAATAGATGGGTCGTTAACCCCGATCTACTTCTTTTATTACTACCGAACTGACCACTTCGTCGCTTGCCGAGAGGTACAGTTATAAAATATCACCGTCCTCGAGCCAGGTTAAGATCGACATACTAGCAAGGTATTTCTTGAGTTCGTCAAATGCGAGCTGACAGTCTTGGGTCTATTCGAAACCTTTGCTCTTGATTGCCTTAAAGAACGGCAGACAGCGATCCGCCGATTTGGACATGAAGCGGCTTAGGGCGGCTATGCGGCCATTCAACCTCGGAACCTCCTTCAACTTCCGATGTGGTCTCATATCTAAGATGGCCTTAATTTTGTCCGGGTTGGCCTCAATGTCGCGCCGGTTAATGATGTATCCTAGGAACTTGCCCGAGGTCACACCGAATACATACTTGTTTGGGTTCAGTCTCATATTAAACTTACGCAAAATTTCAAAAACARAATGCWARTCTTGYAYTAATTYATGTGARAATTGAGTTTTGACGACCATGTCGTCTACATAGCATTCTACTTTTTTGCCAATTAGTGGTGCAAACAACTTATTTACAAGTCTTTGAAAGGTTGCCCCTGCGTTTTTCAACCCGAAGAGCATAACCTTGTAACAGTATAGACCGAACTCCGTAATGAAGGCAGTTTTTTTCTTCGTCCACTGGGTCCATCTTGATTTGGTTATAGCCCGAATATTCGTCTAAGAAACTTAGCAACTCGTGCCCTGAGGTCGCGTCCACCAAACGGTCAATTCTGGGGAAAGAGAAACAGTCTTTTGGGCAAGCCCGGTTTAGGTTGGTGTACTCGACGCACATGCACCACTTGTCGTTGGCCTTCTTTACTAGGATGGGGTTGGCTACCCAACTAAGGTAGTAGACTTCTCTTATGAAGTCAACTGCGAGGAGCTTCTCGACCTCCTCGTCGACCGCTTTCCACCGCTCCGGGGCTAGGTTGTGTTTCTTCTATCTAACGGGCCTAACTACATGATCAGTATTCAGCTTGTGAGTTATGAGGTCGGGGTCTATACCGGGCATCTCTGCCGCGGGCCATGCGAAAATATCTAAATTTTGAAGTAAGAAACTTACTAGTTCGGATCGTAGAGGTTCTTGGACGAAAGCGCCGATCTGAAGCGTCCGAGATGGGTCGGCTGCTGAGGTTGGGACTGCGATTGTTTGTTCCGTGGGCGCGCCTCGTTCTTCGCCTTGCTCCGTAGGCCGCTCTAGTTTGAGGTCGTCGGCCACCTTGGTTTTTCCCTTCAGAGTTGTGACATAGCACATGTAGAACTTGAGCTGGTCGCCCCGCGCTACCCCTACACCGAAGTTTGTTGGGAACTTCATAGCCAAATGATAGGTGGAAACCACTGTCCATAGGACATGGGTGATCGGCCGGCTTATTATGGCATTGTATGGGGAGGGGGTCGCGACCACTAGGAAGTCGTGTTTGAATCTGACTACGCAAGGCCATGTGCCAAATTCCACAGGTACTGTTATCTTCCCAAGGGGCCGGACTTCTTCGCTGAAGCCCACCAAAAGAGTGTTCGCAGGCTTCAAGTCGCTTCTCTACAACTGAAACTGGTCGAATGCAGCTTTGAAAAGGATGTCGGCCGAGCTGCCCGAATCAACGAATACGCGCCTAACCTCGAAGTCGTTGATTCTCAACTTTATTACGAGTGCGTCATCGTGGGGGTAGTGTACCCCTCGCGCATCATCTTCTGTGAAGAAAATTGGCTATTCTATCCTCGGCCGCTTTGGAGGATTTTGTTCTTCCTAGGCGGCCTCACGAACTGACGTCCGAACTGCTGCTGAAGTACAACCCGCAACGATCGAACCTCCCACTATCACGTGGATGGTCCCCCGAACCGGCCTCTCTTCCAGAGGCTGCCTCTGTGGCTGTTCGGCCGGCCTGCCGCTGGACTCGGGAGCATCCTTACCGTGCTCCCCTTGCCGACCTACTTTATTATTACTATTACTATTTTGTACAAAGTTCCTTAAATATCTGCGACGGACGAGCTCCTCAATCTCGTCGTGGAGGTTTTTACAATTTTCAATGCTATGACCGTGATCTATGTGAAAACTACAGTATATATTCTTATTTCTCTCATTGAGATTTCCCCTCAAACAGGGTGGCCACTTCACATACGAGGCGTCCTCGATCGCCATCAGGATTTTGGCCCGCTTCGCATTCAATGGGGTGTAATCCGTTCGGTCCGCTACAGGAGCTCGGAACGACTGACTTGGCTTTGCCCCCGAGCTGCATCGTTTTTCTTTCGGTTGTTCCCTTGGCTGAAAGGCTCTCCTTCCCTCTTCCTCTTTTCAGGCACGCCCTCGCCCTTTTGGTTGATCTCTTCGATGGCTATGAACCTGTCCGCGAGTTTAAGAAATTCGGTTATGGTCACTGGTTGGTAACGACCATGTGCCATTTGAACTCTTTATGCGTCACGCCTTCCTTGGCTGCTGCAAGGTGCATGGCGGGGTCCAGGCGCGGTATCTGCATGCATGCATTGTTGAACCGCTTGATATAGCCCCGGATGGACTCTCTCTCTCTGCACTGTTGAGGAGGCTTTCTTCAATCCACGAGCACTGCTTGCTGGTAATGAAGTGGGACGTGAAGGCTTGCGCGAACTGCACCCAACTTCTTATTGATCCAGGCGCCAGGTTCTGATACCATGTGCGGGCTGCTCCCTTGAAAGTGGTGGAGAAGGCCACGCACATGCACGACTCACTGGCTCTTGCCAGGTGCATCTGCGACTGGAAGGCATCTACATGATCATTTGGGTCGAATGACCCGTCGTATTTGTCAAGAGGGGGGAGCTTGAAGTCTTTAGGCATTGGGACTGTCAGGAGCTCGGGAGATAGATGTATTGAACTGAAAGGAGGGGAGCCTTGACTTCGGCCGAACTTACCTCTTCTTTGCCTCCGGGCTCAGGCAAATCGCGAGTGGCAGATCGGCGAGCTCGGCGGCGACGTCTCTGCTTCTTGGCGGGCTCGGAGCTTGTGCTGCTCACCTTTGTGTTGTCAGGGATGGCGTGTGCAGGAAGTCGCTCAGCCGCCGGTGATAACTGCAAACAGAGGGATCCAGCTTGGAACCTGCGACCAGAATCTCAAATCAATTCTAGGAACGGGGTATCAGGCTTGGAGGGCTGAGGCGACGTGGACTTGACGAGCTGGGGTCCTTCCGACCTGACTGCCCATGGCGAGGCCGGAGTGGCCGGCCTTTCTTGTCTGCCGCAGGAGGAGGCATGGCTCCTTGGAGGGTTCTGGGGGGCCTCTCCTTGGCGAGACCTAACTCGCTGCGAGACTGGGTGTCGAGGAGGGAGCTGCGATTGTTGAAGTTGAGGTTAAGGCAGTTGGGAAAATTGTTGCTGATACTGATATTGGAAGACCTGGTGTAGCATATGTTGTTGATAGAACTGAAACTGTTGGAACTGCTACATTTGAGCATGCATGGCCCGCATGCACTGCATCAAGTCTTCCAGTTGGTTCGGGCTGGCCGCCGAAGGCACAACCGAGGGTTCAATGAAGGTTGCTCCGACTGTAGTAAGGAGCAGTGCGACGACGGGTGCCCCTGTAATAGGCACGTTCAAACTAAGAATCCCGTCCGCTGAGAAGGGGACGGTGAACTGTTTGATGCAGACAATAGGAAACTGGGGCTGTTCCCTAGAGTTATCAATCTCCGTGTTTCGTCCGATGTTGATAGAGAAAACCATGAGTGTTGAGTTTTTGAAAGGTAAAGAGACGTAAAAGTTTAGAGAAAGGCTTTTTGAAGCATTTTCCATAAATGATGCCAAATGATTTAACGCAATCCGATCACTCGTAACTGACACCCAAATGGCTCTTGAAAGATACCTGAGATGAAGAAGAATCCTTTAGGTGTTTGTCCGACAGGGACCCTCCGATAGTTAAATTAATACTTTGTAGGAGAAACAAGAAAAAGGTAATAAGAGTGCTCAGCCCTGGAGGCTTTTATAAGGGCATTCACGTACTGGGCTTTTGCCACAACCATTACCTACCAAGGTTGCAAACGTGGCCGTTGTGACATACTTAAAGTGTGTGGCACAATAAAGGGTGTGGACGCAGGACATGGACTACAATAAAGTGTGTGGCACAATCCGATCGATACGACCTGCTAGATAAAAGCTTCCTAAGGAGCACCCATACAACTCATTCATGAGCTTGGAACACTCCAACATTATCGTTAGTAAAATTGGTCATGGGGATGCTTGGGAGCTCAAGCTAAAGTTGCTTCGAAGTATCTTTTATGAGTCGGTACCTACCTAACCATAAGCTGAAAGATTGGCTATCGTAAACAAAGACGGTTACAGGCTGGAGGGAGATTTAAGATGGAGAAAATTCAGGCTTAGAAGCGAAACAAGTGATTGAAATTTAAGACAATCGAAGTATTTAGACATAATTTTATATTTACATTAAACATGAAATTGCTCGCGAAGAATTGAATAGCTCATTGGTAGAATTTCAGGGGTCAAATGCTTCTGCAATTTCGCTAATGATGATAAATTAGAGAAATAAAAACGTAATACTAGATTTTAGATCTCATCAGCAAGCAATGACCTTAGAATTTGACAGCCCTAAATCCCGGCATAACCTCTGATTACTCTTCATGAAAGAAGAAAACCGAAAAAAAAAGGAAATCAGGACAGAAGGTAAAAATCAAGATAAATGAACATTGGAATATTTTGAAATCTTAACCAATTCTTATCATTCAATACCTCATTGATTCTTTTCCATCAATAGCTCAGAAAAGATACATAACCCCATCAATGTAAAGAGAACAAAGAAGAGAATACATCACATATCATCTATATTAACAGATGCCCATAAGAGAAAAACAAAAAATGCAAAAGATAAAATAGGCCGAAACCCTAACCACCGAACCCATAGAGAGTCCTGCCCTGTCTCTTGAGAGCATAGACGACGTCCATAGCGGTGACGGTCTTCCGGCGAGCGTGCTCAGTGTAGGTAACGGCATCACGAATGACGTTTTCAAGAAATATCTTGAGAACCCCACGAGTCTCCTCGTAGATGAGACCACTAATACGCTTGACACCACCACGTCTAGCCAAGCGACGAATGGCAGGCTTGGTGATACCTTGGATGTTATCCCTCAACACCTTACGATGCCTCTTCGCTCCTCCCTTTCCCAATCCCTTACCACCCTTCCCTCTTCCTGACATTTTCCCCCTCCCTCTGCAACTCTTCTCCCTCACGCGAGCTTTTATTTTCCCTCTTTCTCTGCTTCTGTGTCTACTCGCTTCGCTTTGGTTTGCGAAGCTTTGACCGGCCGGTCCTTTTATAGCTTTGTCCAGTTAAGCGAACGAGTTTACGCCGTAGGATTGGACAGCGATCCGTGAAGTTGCTTTAGGGAGAGGTCTAGTCCGTCAGATCATAAAAGCTGAAACTTTATTGGTTGAATAGACAAAGCGAGGATCGGCGCTTTGTTCTCTTCTCCCGCTCTCTTTTGGATTTTGGAATTTCCGATTTTGCCGAGCGGGTTAAAAACTTCACTTATGACTGTAATACCGCCTTTGTTTTCTTCTTCCACTCGATTTGTGACACGTGCAAAAAACAAGGGTGTTATGGTCAAGATCTAGATTGCATAGCTTCGTTTAATACACATAATGACTAATTGACTACGATGTCCTCGTTAGATGCTACATGATGCAACTTGATTGGTCCTAATCAATAGCACTATAATCAGGTCGAATTCGATTTGGATCAAGTCATATCCAAATCCGATCTGACTATCAAAGCCAAAGCTAAGGGGATGTCAAAAAACCAGAAAATAAGGGGACCAAAATCAGTTCCTATTTTAGTTCAAATCCCTTTCATGATGTTCAAAATTTTAAAGAAAATTTAGAAATTGAAAAAATAACATTGGATTTATTTAATTATATATGGATAGAATGTAACAAAAATTTATATTTATATATAATCTATGTATAGGTGCATAAAATTTATGGAGAAGTATGGATTTACCCAATGCAGATTTCTGATTTATATTATAGAGTTATAAACATTCAAAAGGACCACAATCCACATTCTATGCACCAATGTCCACTTTGAAATGGCATTAATTCCAAGTTGGCACCTACCACCTACCCCGATAATACTTTAAGTCTACAAATTCTGACCTTGGCTTGATCAGTCATTTTCCCTAGAATTTATACATGCTCTTTTTTTTTATAAAAGAGGGTAAACTCTACCTCCCATCCAATCCGATTATTAAATGGCAGATTAAGTTTCTTTACTCTTTAGATTCTCTTGCATCATGGATTAAGGTATATCATCTTGATAAATCCCCCCTTTGTTGTTTAAGTTGCTTCCAAGAAACTATTCACTCTTAGGGGGTGTTCTTTTTCTGGATTTTGAGAGGGGGGAAAATTGGTTGATGGGATTTTGATTCCCTTTGATAAAAAATCCTATGTTCTATTTTCAATTTTATGGTGGACCATAAAAAGTTTTTCTTCTTGGGATACCTATTTCCTAGGTGGGTAAATATCTTTTCCACCTAGGGGAAAGTTGCCAACACTTGAATGGGACAAGCATGCCCCTTGTAATAATGGACTTTATGATTAAAATGGTCATTGTCTTATTTGCATGGGAAATAAAAAAAGATGGGTAAATGCACTTACCCAAATAAGTGTTTCCCATGAAAGACTTACTTGAATAAATAACTTAACGAAAAGTGAACATGGTCTTCAATTATCTAACAATTATCTAAAACATTCCTTACTGTTATTAACCATCGTGTTCTATAAACATGTAACATCATGTGATTAATATATTGTTAAAAGTTATTAAATTATTCTTTTAAAATTTTTCCAAGTTGTTGTTGCTCAGCCCACACATGAACGGGATTCCATGATGTGGCAACAACTTGGAAAAGATGTGGCAACGAGATGCTAGAGGTGGCAACATCGGCGATGGTTGTGGCATTGCCATCTGTGGAGTTATGTGAAAAGGGGACAAAGTGTGCACTGTGTAAAGAGATGGGAGGAGGAAAAGACGTGTGTGAGCTGCCTTGTTGTGACGATTCAACATAGGCTTAGCCTTGCCTACGCTTGGCAGGCTTACGTTAGGGACATCACCATCATTTTCGCCTGTAAGATTTTTGGGAGAACTGATGTCATCTTCAGGCAGACCACCAAAAGCTTAACGTACTCTTTGAGGAGGGGTGGTCGACCTCCTTGGGTGCCTAACCTTGGAACTCCTAGACCATCAACCCCTTGCGGGGCGGCCCTGGTTAACGGCTAGCATGGCTGCCAAGGTTCCTCATGGGTGCACACTTGCTCATGGGAACAGTGTTGGACCGGCACTGCGCTACCGACTCTCAAGGGAGGCTTGGCATGCGGGCCTGGCTCAAGCATGACCCTTCACCTCGCCAACCCCTTACCCAAGCTGATTGAGCTATCCCGTTGCCCCTAGCGCACGGGTGTGTTTCGGCCCAAGCGGTTTCCTATCATCATGGCACACAGGTGCCTGTCATCATCGACATACAGAAGACCCTTCACATCGGTGCCAAATCACCTCATCGGCGCATGGTCGCCTTGCATTATGGTTGTCCCCCTTTAGCACGTAAGTGGCGCCTCCCATGGACCGGTCTGCGCCAGGAGAGTGCCCCGACCATTGGACTTGAGGTCATGATCCAGTGCTATTGACGTTGGTGAAGCCATCCCATCGGGCAACTCCTAGCCTCTAAGCGTACAAAGGCTTGTCCTGGCCTATCATGGCCTGGACACCGCACGGGTTTCTTCCGCTGTAGAACTACCCCCGTGACAGTTGGTATCAGAGCGAGCTAGCCAGTTGCAGCCGCAGCTGGTTTTCAGCAGATTAGCCCAGAGCCAGTTGAAGCGATCATTACGACAAGCAGCATTTTGTGGGGTGCAGTCCCTAGGCACTTCCACCCAGGATCGAGCAGATTTCATATCAGGCCTGGCAAGAGGCCATTCATTGTTCGTGTCCCCATTCCAATGACATTAAAATAGCTTCCCTTGCGGGGGCAGACGCATTGGTTGTTGTCCTCATGCGGGGGCAAACGCGTGAGCTTGATAGGAATATGGGTACACTGCCCGAGCAGATTGCTTATCAGGCCTAGCAAGAGGCCATTCATTGTTCGCGTTCCCATTCCAATGACCCTAAAACAGCTTCCCTTGCGGGTGCAGACGCATTGGGTGTTCTCCTCATGTGGGGGCAGACGCGTGAGCCTTGTTAGGAATGTGGTTACGCTAGCCGTTGGAGCATGGCGGCCCTACATAGGCAAAGTATCATGTGGACATGCTCAGTTTTCAGGTTGATCACTTGCAGTAGCAGAAGCTTATCACAAGGCGAGTGCATGTTCGGCAACTCATGGGTAAAAGTTGCCACCACTCGCAGAGATTGCGGTCAAGTCTCCTTGAGGCAGCAACAGTGGGGCCCCCTTGGAACGAACATGTAGCCCGAACCAGCGAGATGAAGCGTAGTTTCGAGGGCCGTGAGAGTATAAGCCATGACTAGGTTTGAGTAACCCTCACAGGGCGAGGTGAAGACCGCAGGCCAGCCTGGTGAAAGGGTACACCCAACATCCATTGCCAACAACAGGAGTAGACCTATCAGCGTGTTCGGTAGCATCACTAAAAAGCTACCAAGAAGACGGTTGAGCCTTGAGGTAAGATGATACATGGGGCGGACCTCCGCGAAGCACCACACACATTTCTTCGAGGGCCCTTCTTTCACAGTTCAACGACATAGCCATTGCGCGGTTTGAGTAACCTCGAC